TCTCACACTATTTAATATATGTGTCAGTCTGTCGCGCCATTACAGAAACTAGTGGTGAAGGTTCTCACACATGAAGAATTTGAGTTGGTAGGTGAAAGCCTAACGTTCTGTGGCACTGGCAAAACAGAGTTTACATCCACAGGAAAAAAAAAAAAAAAAAAAGCAGCACCTGATGTGGATACCAAAAACACAAAGAAGAGAAGTAAGTGTCTTTGCTAGGGATATTGAGATGTAGCCAAGGATAACGCAGCTCCTTTACTGAGCATTTTTGCCAAGCTCATAGAGATATTCACAAGGAAGATTCTTATAATTAAGCTTAAGCATGGTTTTCAGTGTTCTGAAACACCCAGCCTTCATATACCAATACCCACACATCACACATGCCCAAAGCAAAATGCGTGTCACTCTACCAAAACAACTGGAATCTTCTTAAATAAAACACAACGCTTTTGGCACTAACCAAAGGTAAAGGTTTATCTATTAAATTATTTGATTAAAAAGTGTCTAACAACAACTCTGTAGGAAACCAAATAAAGACTCCACTTCCCGTGCTGCAGAACTGGCTTAAGATAGTTTAGATTTTTTGTCCAATATAAATACTGTATCAGCTATCTCCTTGCATTAGTCATTTCCTCTCACTGAGTTCAATAGGAGGTTAGTGCGTTCTCATATTATGGTAAGATCACACTATAAATCTACACAGAGATTTGCCAGTTATATTGTTTTGGAGAGGCATCTTTTTCCACCGTGGTCTGACTCTGGCCACAGTTCAAAGGCTTCTTTCAATTCCAGATATGACAATAGCACTATCTTTGCTTTACAACAAAGATCATTCCACATGGGTAAGGGGAAAAATAATGCAAAGAAAAAGAAGAATGGAAAATATTGTGGTCAAACAAACAGGCCTTCTTTCAAGAAGATAAGTCAGTAAACAGTACGGTGAAGAGTGGCTGCTTGGGTAGAGCAAGACTTCTTAGAACCGAAATAATCAGCTACAGAAATGACAGTTGATCACAAGTGAACAAGCAGATATTGCAAAAATATCCCAAACGCGGCAACATCTGCTACTTGTTTTCAATATTAACTACTACTTTATTTACTAAAAGTTATGTGTTGAAGCAGATCTTTTTATAGGAGCCAGAGCGCACAGGACCAGCAGGGGAGACGGGCGTCTCTGCCAAGGATTTCAGTAACAGCATTACTGGGCTGGACGCATGAATTTCTTGCTGAAACTCTATACCCAGATTGTACAGGAAGCCTGGCAAGACGATTGCAATGGCTCCCGCTAGCTGAAAAAACTGCAGTTTATAAGAACGGGCAATATCTGTATAGCTGAGCAGAAAATATTACCATGTGAATTCTACTCACTACAATCCCGAGTGCGGTTTTATTCTGCAGCTTCCCCCTCCCTCCCCTCCCCAGCTGCTCACTACATCTGCTGTCTTCTGGATACTTCACGCTACTTTCCCTCCCCTTATTTCTATTTAAGCAAACAGCACAGTTTTAGAAGATACACTGAAGAGGTAAACACCTTGCAAGTTGTGAATCAAAACCAAATGGACTGCCTACACATGCATACATGTATGTTTAATAAAAGAAAATTTTACTTGACAACTACCTATTTATAAACTCTTCTTTTTTTCTTTTTGTTTTCTTTTTCTTTTTTTTTTTTTTTTTTAATAAAAATGAAAACCCTGCTTGAAGATATAATTTTGGAGTATACAGGAATGTGGCAAAGTAATACCCAGGCAGCCAGCATCTGCCACTCAAAATCTATTTCTGCATAGGGTATACAGGGACCTGATTTTAGTGGCTTAGCAGCAGCTCAATGGCTGCAAAATAAAGACACAGAATTAACAGGCACAACACAGCGGGGCCAGTGCTTCTATCAACAGTATTTACAGTCAGGATCTAGGCCTGATCTTGCTCCCACTGACCAGAAGTGGGAGTTTTGCTGGTTTTGGCAACAGTAATATTATAAATACAGAAATGCAAAATAGAAACCTTTTCCTTCCTAAAGGGGGAGAATACAGATCATAGATAATTTAAAAGGAATAAGCCTCAAATCAAAGAGGGGAAAAAAAGAGGACTCCTTTCCACTTAGATGAGAAAAATTTAAGGGCATCCAATTCTCTGCTGAGCATATAAACACAATTTAATGAAGCATACCCTGGCTTCGATGGTTAGCCCACTTCTTACACCCTGGATAAAACAGCACCTCATCAAAAGTTTGCACTTACAGTAAGCAATGGGGAGGGAGGTTGTTTAGTCCTCCCTCTTTTATTGCTAATATTTTTATTCTAGGTCTTGAAAAGGTTGCCTGAAGTCTCCACATCATTTTCACTATAAAAATGATAATCTGAAGAATTTACACTTGCTGTATTTAAACAGATATGCACTACACTTGTTGCAGCTATGCCACAGAGCACAAGACATTCATGGGAACACTGATGACTGTGTATGTTCAAACACATTTAGTCGGACCTCTAGATTCACAGATTTAACACACTGATTACTTTGTACAAGCTCAGCCTATCAGCCCACTTCAACTAGAATTCCTGCCCTTGGGCATGTTTTATTATTTCAAAGCCTGGAACAACTTGAAATGCAAATTTGTCCCCCGCCCCTACACTGTACTGTGGTGTGTGATCCAGAACTTAAAAGCAGTTCCTTGAGCAACAGGAGATCCAGGTCCAAAATACTCAGGTAGGATAACCCAAATGCAGCCATTTGTACGAGCTTTAACGATTTTCAGTCTTCACTAAATACAGCTTGTCCTTCATGGGTTTGCAAAAATAATTATATGCATATATTACAGTTCCATCTTTACCACCAAATCTCTTGGTAACAGGAATACTGAAGTTCTCCGTAATATTTGTTGTTGCTGAATACAACCACTGCATTGCTCCATTTCACACCATCCCTTCATGGTGCCGTTTCTGACAGGGGCTGTGCTCTTCCAGGGGTCCAGAGAAGTTGAGATTTGTGAAGCTACCAAACATCACCCAATAAAGCAGACCAAATTAATCTGCTATCGATGAGGCCCACGTGTGCAACTGATCCCAAATGTTTCTAACTAAAACCAAAGGCTACTCCTCCTACCGTTGCAACTTAAAATACATGAGGCAGAAGATATTTTTACATCCTATTTCCAGATACCCCAAAATAAACATGCAGCAACCCAGCTTTACCACAAAGTAAACAGAGAGGGAAAAAGAAGAAAAAAGAAAAGAAAAAGAAAAAACCCACCAATTTTACCTATTCTCCTCACCCTAAATAACAAAGCTGAAGATCACATGAAATGATACAACAAATCATATCTTACCCTGGATTATAGGTTTCATATTCATGTTTCAGATTCCTGGTACCAATTATCTGTCTGTACTCTCAGTAAAAAAACAACAAAGATGTTTTAATTATCTCCAAAAGAAATATTCAAACTGCTTCACTTGTTTGCTTCGCAGGCAAATGGAAATGCCTTACCAGAGCAGGCTTTGTTTATCTGATTAACATTGATTCTCTAGCACTATCCTGAAAACTAATGATGATAATGGTGACAACTGATCTCAACTGTTTTTAACACCCACACTTTCTTCTTCTTCTTTCTTTTCAAGGTAATTTTTTTCTAAGAGTCCGATCTTATATTGTATTTGTATATAAAACCACAAAGTTATGCATACAATTTCAGCTGGGCACGTATTTAGCGCACACAGTGCCTGCTGCTGCTGATAACGGTATTTGCACAAATGCACCCTTTTACCTTAAATCAGCTATTTTCAAACCCTGCTCATGACAGCATGTTCTCAGCATGGCTGCGGGCTCTGTTAAACAGCTCAAAAGAAATCTCCACAGTTCCCTGCAGCTACAAGTACCTCCACCTGCAGTGTCTAACTTCTGCGGGGTTTCCATGCTTGGCAGGGATCTGGGGAGCACTTCCACAACACCTCTAACAGTATCCTAAAGTTATTTGTTGTGGCATTGGTCCAGGATCCCCCCCTCCTTCCCACTTGCTGCCATCTCCATCACCTCCTGTTGTACCACCACAAGTGCTTTGGAGACACAGCGTAAGCTGGACCGGTGAACCTGCTCGGGTCCCTGCTCCTGGCTGACCCCGAGGGGGGAAAGCACTTGTGACCTGGGTCAACTCACAACCCCAGTCCATTGTATAGCCTGCCCAGCTCTGCCAGCATGACCGCAGCATGGACACGACAGGAAGGGCAGGAGCTTTTGAACAGATGAAAAGACAACCCCAGGGACACAGAGCAAGGCTTCAAAGGCAGCTCAAGCTTCCCTGAGATGCTGCTGGTGCCTGCTCCCCTGGAGAGAGCAGTCCTGCCCCTCCCAGGCTCCTCTTCCTCCTCGCTGTGTCAGCCACTGTGGGAGGGGACACAGAATTTGGGTCCCAGGAGACAGGGTAACTGTGACTATTTCTTTTGCTGGCAGTGCTGGCTTCAAGCTTTCCTGAAACAACAGCCTTACCTGGGAGATAACATGGCATCTCTGCTGATTATCAAAGCTGTTAAGTCTTGGTTCAGCACACAGACAGCCAAAACATTCAGATTTTAGCTCTTCTACGCCAGCAGTCGCTCCTATTTCTCCTTCCTCCCTGCACTTGTAGCAAAATTCCTCTCCGAGCATTTTCCAGCATCCCCAGGGCCCTTGGGTTTCACAGTCGGAGGGAAATGCTCAAGCTCCCTCTTCCTTCCCAGCGCCATCCTGGAGGCTCCATTGCAGTGCCAAAGACAGGCTTTCACGGTTGGCGGCAGTGCTGGCTGACGGACTGGCTGGACACCCATCCCCAGCCTGACCTTGCCCCCAGCGGCACCCTACAGGAACCGATGTGTGCAGACGGGGGAGCTGTACGGCTGAAACCCACCCCAGAGTACATGATGAATTAAAAATGTGAGTGAGAAGGAGCAGTTGGGGGAAGCTGGAAGCTTAGGCTCCTTCTTATTTTGAACAAGGGACCAAAGATCAATAAACTAAAGATGTCTCAGGGCAATATAGCACTTACTGCCAAATACGGCCAAGCTAAACAAACCCAGCAATGAGATGCTATTAGCTCAAAGCAGAGAACCAGCCTGAGGTAGGAGAGACTGCAAAACTCAGCCAGGAAGGCCAGCACAGCTGAGAGCAAATGTTTTATATGTTTCATGTTGTGTTAGCAGGAGATTCACAAAGACACAAGAGCTTACCCGAAGCCACTTACCCGAACAATTATCCCCATGCGCTTGCTCTCGTAAGTGAAGGGGAAGATCTGGAGGATGGTGAAGTTCAGGATGTGGCCACCCGGTGTCCTCAGCTGCACGGAGGACTGGTCTCTGCCCACCAGCGTTAAACCCACGCTCTCTGTCCACTGTACCAGGGCCACCTGAGAGGAGAAGGGCATGGTGAGGGTGGCCGGCCCACACCACACCTCCCCTGAGGGGACAGCGGGTAGGGGCTGCAAAGAAGTCCGTCACTCATCAATGGTGCTATGGAGTGGATCTGTTCATATATGCACGTGCTCCTACATTGCTCTTTCTAGTGGGCTTTTCCTGAAGTTAGAAGCTTACTAACAGTATTTTCGGGGTTTGGGCAGCCCAGCTGCTGTCCGATTCAGCTGCCAGGCTGTCCTCGGCTCTCAGCAGGAGGTGGTCAGCTCCCTGCCTTCGACTGCCACATCCTGAAGGACAACCCTTCAGCACAGGCAGGCACAGGTACCCTCCACCCAGGCCCGGGGTGCCCAAACCTCTGCTTGGGCTCATCAGGTAAATCTCTGTACAAACACTTACTTTTTGAATGTGCTATTTCCCAGCTTGCCATTTATGAAATCAAGAATTCAAAACAATGCATTCACCCTGGATTTAAAATATCAAAGCCAGAAACACTAACGCAGAGCACGTTAAAAATTCATATTAGAAAAGCAAACAAACAAAATGAGCCCTGTGTTATACTCTATCTGTTTGGTAGTAACAATTCATCACAACTTTTAGCCTCTGTACTGATCAGCAAGACAGCTGAAAGCTGGCTCACAGACACTTCTTAGCAGAGAACCCCTTCTCCCTAAACATTAAAAAATAAACAAACAAACAACCCAAAACAAACCCCAGATTTTTCAAGGCACACACCAGAACTCATTTAATTGAGCTTATGTGGGTACCATTCTGATTGCAGCTTCTAATATTTAAGGACATACAACACTGAATTCTTTACCAGCTTTCACTAGATTACAACCAGAGTCATGACAGAAGAGCAAAGCCTTTATGATGATCCCCCACAGAATCCTCACCTCAGCTGACACATCCATCTAAGATTGAGCCTGCTGAGATACGGGGGTTTACCTCTAGAAGCTGTCTTGGCAGTAACGGATGGGAGCAGCAGCTGACGTGAGCCCATATATCACTGGCCTCCAGAAAGGATCAAGGGGTACTTTCTCCAAACAGACATGAAATACTGGAAGTATTTTGCAGTGACATTTTCAAAGGCATGAGAAGGCTGGGCACACGGTTGCTGCTGACTTGAAGGTTAATTATCCCTTGTGCCTTTCAGGTTCTGCCTTTACTGCCTTAAGTGACCACAAATACCTTAGACAAAAATAGAATTTATTTTGGGAAATCACATACATGAGATACAGATAAAAATGAAATCTATAAATTCTTGCATTGAGTCAAGATTTTACTAGATGAATTGATATAATTGGGTCTAATTGGAGAATCTTTTGTGAACTCAGCTCCCTTTCATCCACAATTAGGCTTAAAAGACAACCTAAAATAAACTTTTCCTTTCATAAAGTAATCTTAAATCATCAGATAAAAAAAATCAGTTGAGTTGGCTTTGCCTTAAAAGACCTTTAAACCAATTTGAATCAATATTTGTTTTAATATTAGCAAGTTTTTGCAGCCATATTCACAAAGATTACAACAAATCAAAGGCTCTTTCAGGCTTATGTTTTTCAAAAGTTTCTTCAAGCCATCCTTGGCATATTAAAGTGTGCAGTTAGATACTCTTCCTAACAGTCTCCCAGAGCAGAGGTGGAGCTTGGGCTTCTAATACTCTGGTTAATAAATAATTATTGAGAATTTTTCACAGCATGACGTTACGTGATGTTCAGCGTGCATGGCACCGGCTGTTAATTTGCCCATGCTGGTAAGCTGCAAACGTCTGGAGAGACAAATCTCTGCTCCCAGCTCAGCCCATTAAAACATCTCCTTTGCTACTTTCTTTCACAGACACCTCCTCTCTCCTTCCCTGCCAGTGTCTCATTTAAGTCCTATGTCAGGAAGCATTTAAACCTCCTGAAAGAAAAGCCTTGTGCAGAGGAACAAATGGATGAGCAACACGTCAGAGGTGCTACGTCGTGCACATGACATGCTTCAAACTAACTGCACTGCATTGCGCAACACCAGTCATTTCGGATGGCCCTGAGACCACAAAAAGGTACGACAATGGAAGGGGAAGAATAATGAAAGAAATCCCCCTTTTCCCTGCTGCTCCCAAGCAGACGTGGGTCCTGTCAGCCCTTAATGGCCCTCCAGGTGAACTGCATTCAGCACGGGAAGGGAAGTGGGGCTGACCCCTTTGAACATGCCACTTCCCAGCCTCCATAGTACTTAATGAATAATTACTGAGAGAGAAAGTGATAGAATTTTGAAGTGTTCCTATCACATGTACTAAAAGCATTGAAATTACCATCCTCATTCACCAGGCAACACAATGGGCCCGGCCTCTGGGAAGTGCCGCAGCACCAGTGGACAACACCAACAGCAACAAAAGCGCCGGTGGCTCTTCTGGTAGGGCCTGGGCACCCTGGGACGGGGAGCACGTTCCCAGCTCAGTGCGAGACAGAAGAGGTTTACTCTGCACCATGCAACCAGATAACTAGAGGTGCTCTCAGTCACAGTGAAAAGATGAGAAACATTCAAGATGCAAAAATATGTTTACAGCTTAAACTGAGATTTAAAAGCAGACATGAAACCCCTCAAACATCTTCAAGAGAGCCCATGCTCACTCCTGAGGGGAAATCAGTGAAGTCCCTGACCACACTCCAGGAGTTTGCAGCTCCGTCCAGGCCAAGTCAGATACAGAGCCAAGCATTACAAAGCAGAGCAGCTACAGCAGCTCAGCATACTATCCCCCAAACTTTGCTCTTTCTGACAATTAAATTACCCAAGCCACCACTGAAGTGGATATCGACTAATAAATTTCATTCTAAAGAGACAAATTGATCCTTCTGTGCCATGAGTTGCTCTACAAATGTCCCATTTAGGGTTGCCTAGGCAGACAGACAGACAACAGGCAGAAACCAATTGATTGGTGCACCCTTTCATGTCCTGGCAGCTGCGGCGGGTTGTCAGGGTTAAAGACTGTTTGCCCAGGAATCCCAGGCGCTCTTATCTCTGATCAGATTATATCTATTTCATTTCCCCTGTTAGTTACTGTATGGCTACAACTGACATGCTTGCAGAGCCCCAAGGCTGTAACCGATATCTGAATAAAGATACTTCAAGACTTCTAAATGGCAGCATGCACAGGAAACAAATTTAGGAAATCCTGCTTTCTGTTACAGGAAATGAATCCTATGCCAACTGGTAGAAATTACTCTTGCTGTTAAAGTAAAGAGAATACAAGTTTTTGTACTCATTTCATAAACTGACCTTCCCTGCCATGGCAATATTTTATTGATATAGGATTTCAAAGGCTGGCTTTAACAGCAGTCCAAAGCCATTCCCCTACAGGGAATGTTATTTAACAGCATCGCTCTCTTCTCAAGGACTCGGCTTGTGCTGATCCTGTGTTTTGTACCATCTAGTATGACATACGCAGAGCATAACTAAACAATATTTGTATATCGAAGACCTACAGACAAGATCTCCTCAGTGCAGCAAAGCATATCTGATTTCTCAACCCACTGTAATTCTCTACTTAAGACACCACAAGCAAGGAAAAAAGAATTTAAACAATAATCTTGGAAGGATTAGTTATCATGCTATAGTAAAACAAACAAACAGCAGTCCCTTGGGTATTTGAGACAAATCGCTGCATAAATATTTTAAAGACAGAACTGTATAAAGCAAAAAAGGAAACGAAAAATCACTGACTTCACTATATATCACAGTATATATGTAAATAAACAGAGGATCTGTGCAAAAATAGCCAGTAAATGCTTTAGGAAAAAAAACCTTAAATGCAGATCACAAAAATTACCATCTGGAAATCATTCAGAACTTGTTTCAATCCAAAGGCAGTTGATTTCTGTAAGCTGTCTTTACATGGGAGAGCAACACATTAAAGGAGAAAAGCAGGTAAGCAAAACACCAACCTAGGTTATGCGGTGGGAGAGGACACATGGGCACACACACACACACACACACACACACACTGCTCACCAGCTCCAAAGCCAGGGAGGAGTAAGGGCTTGTCACTGTAGGCACATCAATGGAGGAGGGGGGAAAAAAAGCAAAGATGCAGCTTTTGTACAATACAGACAAGAACACATTATATGAAATGAATGAATTGCCTACTTGGGAAGAAAAACACTACAGGGAATATTTTGAATGTACATGAAATGTGGAAACTAACTCTGTGTGCCAGTCTTTCATTAATACATGCAACAATTTCAAAATCCTCACATAGTGGGGCTAGCGAATAAACTTATTTCTATGCAAACAATTTCTTACCTCTAACAATGAGGAAAGCCAGCTTCTCTTTCGATGTCAAAGGTGAAAAGGTTATTATCAGAGGCAAATCTGTTTTATTTGGGGCAATAAATGGAAGAACCCTTCCAATGTAGTCAAATGGGCGATATGATCTCATACCATCAGTAGGATTCTTATGGGAAGTTTCAAACTTCCATCTCTTTCAATGGCATAGAGCAAGTGTAATTGTAAAAATTAATAGAAAACAAATTGTTTTACCTCGGTTGCACTAAAGATGATGTATCCAAGAAGCATAACCAATACATGAAACCATATTTTATTCCTCCTGTCTTCGTCACAGAAGGAAACAACACTTTAATTAGATTTTCCAGATTTTGCAGAGGGTGGCAAAGAGCGCTTTAATCGTAAATCCTGTATTGAACTTGATCTCTCAAGTGTTCAGTAAAAGTCTCCAGCGAGTCTCTGGAGAGCTGTAAAGTTTCTCTCTCCTGTACCACCCTGTGTAGCCCTGGCTGGACTGGGTGCTGGCAGAGAACTGGCAGGGCACAGCTTTGCTCAGAGAAACTCTTGTGCACTTCAGTTACTCTGCAGAATTAATTCGGGCTCCGGGTCTGTCCCGTCCGCATGGGAAGGGATGTGTCCTGGGTTAGCAGTGCTACCCAGAGTGATTTACAACTTTTCACTTGGTCTGGAAGTTTGAACACTTTGCAGATCAGGGACACGCTGACTCGTGGGAGTGCTCTAACCCCCTCCCACAAGTCATCCCCCCCCAAACAAGACAAGATTGCCTATAATTTACCAAATGTGGTCAAAGGGACCCATGGCGTTGAACTGCAAAAATATACCCTGGACAAAAGGTGCAGAAACATGAGCAAAAAACTCTGCAATGCAGGGGCTGACAAAACAGCTAGATACTAGTCACCATGTAGCTCTGTAGCTTCAGGCAGAGAGGCAGATTTGGCTGAAGTATATCACCTGAGAGACCACTTATGGTCTATTCATGAGTTATCAGTGCAATAAATGCATTAAAATATTATCCCCTTCACTAGACTGGAACACTTTCACCACATAATTCTTTTTTTCAGCAAGGTCATATTTATATTTTCATACACCCAAATGGATACTGACCTCATCAGGACTGGAGGCCTGGTACACCCTGCAGGAGTCCTCATAATGTCTCTCGGCTTCAGCCTGGTCTGTCACCCCGTTGGACTCGTACACCGGTGTCACGTTGTGGCACAGCGCGATTGCCTTCACCGCCTCATGCACTCGGCTGCTCATGGTTTTACGCACCTTGGTGGCTAAGGTAAGGCCCTTCACGGCAGGTGGGTCCTGAGATTGCTTATAAAAAAGGAAAGCAAAATAAAGTCTTATTGCAGAAAAAAAAATATTTAAGTTTTTACTTCAGTGAAGACGTATATGCAGCAGCCGTGCAGACTCCTATGTCCCCAGGAATGAGATGCACTCTTCATACACCTTAATTCAGACCATCACTGGGAACTCACCCCAGCATAATGCCACTTCTTTATCATTGTTACTGATGGAGTAAAGTGCCCCAAAAGATTTACCTAAGTTTTTGGAACAGTACACTGAGAAAAAGACCCTCTGTTGCAGAACCACCAAACACTGATTGGTGAAAGACCAAAGTCAGAAGACTCGGTGAAACCACTTTTTGCTCCACAAAAGACCAGTGGCTCTGAAAATTTAGAGTCCATTCGGTTTCACGTGCAAGAGAATATAATTGCTGAAAACAGAAAACAGATGACTCGTATGGACCTAGAAAATCTTAATTACATTCATTTAATTTTTAATACTATTTTTAGTATCAGAATGGGAGTTTTCAGATAATTGCACAATTACTAAATTATCCTGGTTGAAGAAGGGACACACAGTGATCTAGTTTCCTGCTCTGTTAACCTTTAGTGTCAAGAGGACAAAAGTTTCACTTCCAGGTCAAAGGCCACAACATGGTAAAAATAAGAGCAAAGAATAAGAACTACAGTTCAAAATGAATCATTGCCAGCAAATGCTTCTCATTAAAAGGAATCTCACTCGGTAATGATAAACGTTTTATGAGACACATCCTTTATGAGTGTAATTCCACATGCTATTTCCCACACTCTAGTGATTAGGACACGCAAGATCTTCAACTTGAATATTGCTGCTCATCAGCACTGTTGCAACAGGCTTTACCCAACCAAACAACAGCAAACCCTCAGCTGAAGTGCATTTAGATTGACACGTAGCACTAGTCAAATACTGAACTAGTCACGCTCATCAAAAGATGCTTGACAAATATTGAATACTTTGGCAAATAATTAACCAGCAGTCAAGTTTTCTCTGGAGATTGAGTACAAAATGAGGGCAAATAGATCTGAAGTCTGTTTTTTGGTTTTGGTTGGCTTGGGTCTTTTTTTAAGTACAGTTCAGTCATTTAAGAGTCTCAAAACCAAGAGAAGGACCAGATTCTAAGGCGGCTGTGAAAGCAGAGGAGGGAAAAAGAGAGCGAGCTAGGAGTTACAAGTTACCTGAGACGCATGGCAGTGAAAAAGACAATTACTCAAAATACCGGGTATTTATCAACTATCACATGCTTAGTTAAAAGCACATTGTAGCCTGACAGTCTGCTTAGGGCAAAGCTATGCCATCAAACAGATCACTGAGGTCAAGGAAACCTGCTGTGTGTCTTTACCACCATGAACAAAATCCAAAAATAAAAATTCCATTTACAGTAAGTACATAGTGCCTTTTTCCAGGCAAGAATGCTGGCTTCATGTTTCACTTTGTGGGGGGTATAGAAAGTGCACTTCAGTCTAAAAATCTCTCGAGCAACGCAAAAACAATGTGACATGAAAAACTCAGTTCCTTGCATTGGGTGTGCATGCCCACGGAAAAGCACAGGCACTTTGACAGCAACTTGTGCGGTTTCTGTAGGAATGAAGCAATTCCACAACTATTGAGAAATGAAAATGCTTGACCTACGACATGGGAGTAGTAACTCATCACTAACATGTGCAGATTGTGTCTGTGGAATCACATTTTACAAAAGAGAAAACCTAATTGTCAGTAAGTCACAAAAAAAAGTTATTTCTAGCTGCAGTTGAAAGAACAGTTATTAGCAGAAAATAAAAAATAATGCTTCCATGATTACATAATTAGTGGCAATTCTTAAGTCTTTTATAAGTACCAGTGGCTGGAACACCAGCCACTGACAGCTGATTATTTTTTTAAAAGGTAGCAATATTCTTAAGTAAAACCTCATCCCTTGTTTTAAGAAGGAAGTGCGTGTATCTATATGAAGTTTCAATTGATAAGCATCTTGTCTGCTGTAACATGCTAAGGAATACAGTTTGCTGACCCAGACAAGTCACATGACATTACCTGGTTATCATACAAAGCTGAAATAAAAGTCTAAGAATAGAGATGAAGGCTTTTTAGATGCTGGCTCACCCAGTGACACTGAAAGAGGAATGCAAGGGAGAGACTTCCCAAAACAGGATTTTCCTGTTCTGTACTTTACATGTTGACTTTGCTGCCTTCTTTAGCCGTAGATATTTCTCAAAGCAGATGTCAGTTATGCACCATATAAGATCATTGACGCATTAGTGAAAGAATCCCACTTTTACCATTTTCTTTTTTAACCATCAGGCCTAAAGCAGCGATACTGGCACACTGTTCTCTGTTGCTGCTTACTGACTACCACTGGTTCCTCTTCCTTTATTACTGCCCCAGTACACGCCATTTCAAACAGCAACTTAATCCACCAAATATTACCCAGAGCCAATTTTTCAACAAAGCAAACACTGTAGTTGCTGTAAGTGGTGAATATCTAAATAAAAGTATGCTATTTTACAATCAGACCTCGGTAGCAAGACACAGGCACGTACACTCACACACACTCACAGATCCGTGCACGTGTTGTGGCAGTTAAAGACTGGTGGATGTGAAACAATCTACAAATGTAATAAGCAATCATGATAATACTTATGTATTAAGCATCCAATGCCCTTCAGACTTTTCCAAAAAGTAATAGTTAATAGGCAGATCCCTGCCATATTAATTCACCATTAGCCCTGTGACCTGGAAAACTGTTTTGTGAACAAAGAGTGAAGTAATGCAATTTAATTCTACCTGCGTGTATATACTGAATATGTGGCTCTGCACTTCATCCATGGAATCCAGGCCGTAAGCTACGGTTCCCAGGTGAAGTCGCTTGAAGACCATCTCATTCTGTGTAAGAGTTCCTGTAACAGAAGGAGCACCAGACATGGAGTGGGAACCAACACGCCTATTCCCCAGCACACGTTCTCATCCTTGCTGTACCCCAAATTCAAGAGAAACTGGGCCAGAAGCTGAATCAGTCACTGCTCCGGGCTCTCAGTGCAGGCTGAGGCCAGCAAAAAAGACAATATTAACAAACCTGAGGGATGATTCTCCCAGGAAGTAGTGGTGCACATCACTGTGCCAGTAAGTAAGAATGAGATTTACCCCAAAGTCAATGCCAGCAAGAGCTGCAGGCATAATTCTGGTCCTGTTGCAACCAAAGAAAAGTTCTGGAAACAACTTCAATGGGACCAGGATTTTATGTCGGACCAAGTTTTTCATTACAGCTTAGGTCTTCTGAATTCAAGCTCAACATTAAAAGTGTAAGGACTGCAGCAGACAGACTGATGGTACGTTTCTGCCTACACGTGTAAGCGATCTTCATCTGGCTTTGAAAACTAACTCGAAAAAGTTGCTTTTAATTTTATTTTTACCCTCAGCTTTTGGTTTAATAGCACACTTTAAGCGTTCTTTGAAGTAGCATAATATTCTTGTCCTATTTTACTCATAGTGAGTTCAGAACAAAAAAATGCAAATTTTTTTTTCCAAAAACTGAATAAATCATATTGTCAAAGTGACAGGAAATGCTATTTCTTCTAGTCCAAAGAAATCTTACATTATACTCTCTGGTTGGCCAAAAATGTAACAAAATCCAAACAACAACATACCATGACTCAAAACTGCATTTTCTACACAGATACCTGTTTTGTCTGTAAGCAAATAGGATATCCTCCCCAGCTGCTCAGGAATAGTGCTGGACCGAACCACAGTCCCAGGGATTTTGGAATCTCTGCGGATTACCCAGCTGTAGACAATTTTACCCATGTCCAGGTTCACACGTAAACTATGCAGGAGGAAGGGAAAAAGAAAAAGAAAATGTATCTCCAGTTACACTTTGGAAAAAATCATTGTGAACTGCCCAGTGCAATGAAAGGACATGTCTTCCATGCTGAATTTGAGCTGCCAAAGAGGGTGTTTTGGGAGAAGTATAGTCAAAGTCAGTGGTCAGTTGGCAAATAGGTGGCAAACGGGGAGAAGGGCTGTGCATTGCTGCAGTGGTACTGTAATTCAAAGGTGGGTGATATAAGTATCTTGAGAAGAACAGATATAATTTGAGGGGAAGATGGCCAGAGACAAGTAAGGACAGCGTGATTGATACACAGACAGCAGGTTAAAAATGGAACCAAAATGAATCCCAGACCTACACCGAAAGCAACAATCTCCTTATTAATGTAGTGCAATTAAATATTTAAGTTTCAGTCCCCTCTAAAAGGCAATTGGGTCCTATTAGACTACATGCATAAATACGTCTTCTTTTCCATTTTTTGCTCTGCTTTTATCAAAGTAACCAGGAAGCCCAAACACTGAGAGAAGGGGCCTCAAATGACTAATCCACAGCCTGAGGTAGTCAGTGAATGGGTGAATATGCTAAACAAATTCAGCAGAAACAACAAAGCAATTCTTATATTTGAACAGTAAGTTGATTTCTATTTCTAGAGTTGCTTACTTGTCAAATGAGGAACAGATAAGAGTTTACATGCTTGTTCATACTAGAAGCATGGAAGAGGATGCAAAGGAAACAGCATTTTGCTGGGAAGAATTAGCAATTGCCTTACCTAATGGGAATGATGTTTGAGAACAGAAGGAGAAATCTTATGATCTGAAGATACCAACGGCCAGCAAAGTGCTGAAGGGCCACCATGACAAGCGAGACCACCACAAGAGCCCCAAACAGGATCTTGGTAAGACAGTTCACTTCCAAATCAAAAAGACCAATCTAAAAAAATAAAATAAAGACATTTCAAACACACAAGAGAAGACGTTAGCTCAATGTAATATTCACAAAGGGAATGAACTGCCATATTCAAAGAGCCATTCTCCACTAGCCAACTTCTTCTCTTCTAAAACACTACAAACATATTTAAATTTATAAGCAATATTGCTGCCAGCTTACTAAAGACTTCCATCCTTTGGAAGCTAAGCAATGCATGAAGAGGTGTGAGAAGACTCATGCTGCCAAAAGCTCCAGACTGTATCAACATCCCTGCACCTTGTCTTAGCTTTGCTATAATAGAAGAATGCAGCAAAATAAGCTTTCCTATTCTAACTGGGACTATCTCACTATAACCATATAAAACCATGGTTTTATCAATCTTAAAGTGAGAAGGCATGTGTATAATAGTATCAGAAAAATGAGGAAAAATAGGTTCTGCTATGGTAGCTATCTTAAATCATAGGCTGGAAGATATGAATCATTATTCCCATGGGGTTGTCCCTATAATGTGTACGTATAGCATTTGGCAGGATTTTCTTTTAAAAAATGACAAATTTCTGCCCCTTTTTATTATAAGACTGTTTCCTTACCATACCTTACTTCTTGGGTTTGAAGTATTCATCACACTGCGCAGCTCCCTTCCAGTGTAGAGGACAACTCCCACAACAGTACCTAAACAAAACAGAGCACGCATCAACAGAAGAAAAACAACCTCTGTTTGTTTTCTTTAGAAAAATACTTGTTGGATCCAAAGGCTTGACAGTTGGAAAGGATTTTTAGCAGGTTAATTTCAGAAGCAATAGCAACAAGAAATTAAAAAAAGCTGGTACCTGAAATATAAAACCTATGAGAACACGGACTTTGAACAGAAGACATCCTACGAAAAGTCAGTAAGGCTTCAACCGCACTGCCCATATGGTTGGACTTGGTGCAGCATCACAGGCTGCATCAACTAATGTGCATGGAAAGAGAAGTCACCTGCTTTGCTCTCTCGACTTTCCCTGATCCCCTTTTGATGTCAGTTATCTCTCCCCACTATAAATAAAAGTTGCCTACCACTTTGAATCCCACTTAGGCGTGGGTAAGTTTGCCTTGCACCAGATAGTGGTCCTCCATTGTGTGTCAAAATTAAATCAGTGCTCTTGGCTACAGTTCTTCTTTATTGGTGAAGATTGCCATAATCAGAGTAAAATCAATGAATTCCAACAGCTTTCAAAGACAGAAGTACCTTATTTTAAAATCTACAATTTAAGTATTTGTCTAATTGCTGTTCCCATGGAAAGGCGAATCATACCAACTGCTACCTTACTGTAACAGATGGAGCTTCTGGGAGCCTATCAGTGTATTTTAATGCTATGTCCCACGGTTGCTAAAGAGCTGAGAGCAACAAAGTTCTCCCTTTTCTTCTTGCAGAAACATAATACAGTTTAGCACCATAAATGACTGGGTTTCTACAGATTTCTCCTACAGACTTTGCAAAAAGCCATAAAGAAAAAGCTATCTACTGTCAAGAGTTTAAAAGCTGCAATTGCCAAAGTCTAAATTTTTTACTAGAAAATTTTAGGGGTCTGTAAAAATGGAGAAAAACAACACCGAAAAAAAAGCACTGCTTTTTTGGCAAATACATTGCCATTTTATACTCTGCTATTCCCCTGCTCCCATTAATGATCAAAGTTTTAACAAGCTGCAAGTGAATTATTTTTAAATAAGGCTGATTCAAAAGAGGTGGTTTCTAAAAATATGCTGGGAAACATTCCTTTAAAAAAAACCCGAAAAACAACAACAAATCACTGGAGCCAGATGGCAGGTGGTGGTAAGATCATCACAATTCAAATCAGCAGATGGCACAGCTACTCCAAATCAACCACAAACAGAGTCAGACCCATTCCTACTACAGCAGATGGAGAAAGCCACATAGCTCTGCTTCGTCTTACAAGCAAAGGCTGCCCCAGTGAGATGGCATCTCCACAACTTGACAGCTTTCACTTACAGAAGAAGAAAAATATCATCCACACTTTTTTTCCTAACAGAAATAACCTACAACATGCTATTTATTATTACCATAGGAGAAACAAAACTGAGTATTATATTGATCAAGTCAGTCAAAATGAGAAGAAAAACCTGCCAGGAGTAGCAAACAGCTTGAAGACACACTGGTATGTATAAAAAGAGTGTTTCTAGTTGTTCTACGGCCATTCAAAACAGACTGAACTGCATAAACCATTTGAAATGATGAAAATATTTGCAAATGTTATTCCTATTCACTGAACTCACAAAGACGTCTCTCTACAAATAACTTATTCAGAAAGGACGATTAGATTCAAACAATAAGTTCATTTGGGCAGAGAGGAGGTCGTTGCATGCCTTGATACAGCCACCAAGACCACCCGAGACTTCTAAACAGCACTGAAGTAGCAACCAGGTGGAGCAGAGCGTGCGCGGTGCCCTCCTTAGGGGAAAAATGTCTGCACCCACCTGTATACTACACACAGCTCAGTGCACAGCAGAGGAAGAGCTTTTACCCCCAGCAGGCACGGGCTGTGAGCGTGCTGAGGGCAGGAGCGCATTCCTCTCTGACTTCAGCAG